GTGCACAAAAGGACCTTGGGAACACATCCCCCATGGAGGGATACTGCCTTAACCTAGAGATAGGAGAGAAGTCCTAGTCCCTACTTCAAATGACCTGACAGATCTACATGACCCCACCTGGATGTCATTGCCCTACATGTGGAATTGGGGAGGGGGATGGGACACGAGGGTGGTCAGAGTGCATGTGAGAGGGCAGAGAGGGTAAAAGGAAGGGAGGGAGGAAGGGAGAGGGAACTGGGATCGACATGTAAAATAATAAATTAAATTAAAAAAATAAAAAAATTGTACTTTATCTTTCTAGCTTCATTATTTCTTTATTGTGCTCAGTTCACTCTCCATTTCTCTCAGTGTTCTCAGCCAGCTTTGTCCTAATTCGAGTCAGTTGTCTGTTCATTTTTAGCCTCTCCGAATCTGTTTTTATTTGTTTAATGGCATACAGCAAATGCATATTATGGTTTAGATCTTTTTTCATAGTGAATTCTTTTATTTTGTCTTTATCTTGCACTCCATCTTTACAATTTCCATTAGAGAATAATCAAAGGAACCAGAGAGAGCTGAGGGCTTGTCCCTCTTGATTTGCCATCACGACCGTTATCGTTATTATAAAATTAAGATGATAGAAGACCCAAGTGACCAGTGAAGAGGGTTATTAGTAAGCTACCTGCTGTGTTTGCTTGGAAGCAGATGAGCTAGGTCAAAACTGCCCAGGAGAACTTTCTGTTCTGATTGGCAGTTGTCCTTGTTAACTTTCTATTGCTGTGATAAGACACTATGAGGAAAAGCAACTTTGGAGGAATGGCTTTACCTCAGCTTACAGTTTATACTCTACCATGAAGGGCAGTCAGGGCAGACACTCAGGCAGGACACTGGAGGCAGGAACTGAAGCAGAGGCCATAGAAAAACACTGCTGACTGGATTGCTCTCCATGCCTTGCTCAGTCTGCTTTCTTGTAAGACCCAGGGTGACCTGCCCAGGGGGAGCACGGTGGACAGGATGCCCCCACATCAACCATTCTATGAAAGAAATTGCCCACAGACATGCCTATGCCAATCTGATGGAGACATTTTCTCAGCTGAGGTTCTCTTCCCAAATGACCTTTGGATTGTGTGAAGTTCACAAAAACGTAGCAGCATGACAGGTTATCTGTGCGTCAACACAGGGACATTTGCCACATGTGACTGTTGACCACTTGGGTCTATTGTAGCTGGGAACCAACTTGTTAATTGTCCTTTATTTTAATTAATTTATATTTAAGTAGACACACATGGCTAGAGGCTGCAGGATTGGCCAGTGTAGGCCCAGAGAGCTGTATTTTCACTCCAGGACAAACAAACATAAAATCTAGAGCAGGTTTCTGATATTCTGCAAGTGAAAGAAATGTGATAATAATTTAAGGAACTAGAAGCATATGCCGTCAAGCGCTATAGTAAGATAAGTCCAAAATATTCAAGAGGTTAAAGACATTTTCTGCTTTTCAATGAATATAGTATGAATAAAATTATATAATACATACAATAAACTATATTGTTTTAATGTTTAATGATGTTGGTTTATTGGATGGATGGATATGCCATGGCACATATGTGGAGGTAGGAGAATAATTTATAAGAGTTGGTTCTCTTCTAACACATGGGACATGGAGTCTGAACTCAGGTCATCAGGCACGATGGCAAGCACCTTCACTCATTGAACCATCTCACCACCCCTATGTTATTTGTCTTGAGACAAACGTAGAAACTTTGATCAATTGTAAAATCTCAGCAGATCCCAAGTAGATAAGAAATAAATCTGTGATTCAGTTTTTCCACCATTAAAAAAAGAAAAATTAAGTGCTAAATGTGCTTTTAAAGGTCAAGACTTCAGTTATTTAATACATATTTATTTAATAAAGTATATAATTTTATTATTAATCGTGGTATGGAGTATCAACCTTCAAAAATTCTGGATGTGAGTCCATACATATGTACATACATATAATTTTGTACTGTTACGTATATGTGTTATGTATAGTATTTGATATACTAATAAATATAATTAAATTCTTTTACAAAGTAAATTTTTCTGAGTTTACGTTGCTCTAAATATCTTCACACAGGTACTATTTTTAGCATTTATAAATTCCACACAGTTGACTTCACTATAGTTCTTCTTTTGCCAACTATATGAGTTTATGTCTATTAACATACATTGGAATTACATTTTTCAAAGCAACAATAAAGTTTCTTGTTGAGTTTCGCTGAAATTTAATTTCTGTTAGAGCAAATAGTGTAAGTCTTGTGATCATTTTGTACAGTTTGTATTAATAATCAGTTATATTTTTGTTTAAAGCTAATTTAGAGAGTACCTAGTCATCAAGAATCCAACATTGAGGTCATTTGAGTGAGTCCTGAATGACATCTGAGTCATATTCTTATGGAACTTCTCTCTATCCTGCTGGGCTGAAGTAGATACTAAGTCCCCATTTTGACTTGTAGAGTGTGACATCCTCCAGAACTAATCTTTTTATTGTTGAACTTACTTCAGTTGATATAATAATACACACCTTGAATGAGTTTTAGACTAGTAATAATTAAGAAATAAGGAAGGTAAATATAAGACAAAATAAGATACCAAAAAAGGAATAATATTAACACAATTAGTTTTAATTAGTTCCACAGGTAAGTGTGATCATTTTGTTGGGATATATCTTCAATGTATTTTATTCATTAGTTCTTAAAAAATCATATAGCAAAATTTGAGTAATTGTTTTATCTAACCTTTCATAAAATATTGATTCAAATTTTTTATATCGTCCTATTTAAACAAAATGTCATTATTTACTTTTTATGTAATGTAAAAAATCATAAATGGTTTTATTTTAAGCAAGGTCTCTCTTTATATTTTATTAATGAATAACTCCTTTTGCACAAAGAATACTTGTTGATGTGTAAACAAGACATCAGAAAATAATGATCATAATCAGTTCTACATATCAACATCTATTATTCTATACTTAGTACTTTACAAATATTTGCAATCTTAATTATAGTAAGAACACTGATAATGTTTTGTTCTAATTTACAACTAAAATAACAAATTTTGTAAATTTTCTTATTATTGTGTCTTTAAAAATGGCACAGCTAGAGTCTGAATTTAAACATGCTTCATTTTACATCTTTATTCTTTTTGGAAACACTGCTTTGATTTCTACATAAAACTTCTTTGATTCCATTTGACTAGAAAATAATTGACCCATTATACATACAATTAACAGCCTCAGAATTAACTTTTGTTTAAGTCTTTAAGAACTGAAAATTATATAATTAAACACAAATCTATTTGTTCATATTTAAAGACATTCTTTTTAAATCAAGAAGCAATCAAAACATGTACTTTATTATCAATAACTGCAAGAAGTTTAAGAAATGATTTGTATGTGAAACATTTAAAGACATCCTGTCATTCATTTCAGTTCTTAAAATAGTCAAGTTGTATTTTCTGTAGTTTCTTCCATTTCAAATACTCTTAACTCCTTTCTTCTTTCATTTTCTCTCCTTCCCTCTCTCTCTCTCTCTCCTTTCATCCACCCTCCCTTGCTTTCTGTCTCTCTATTGCTCTCTAGTGGGATATTTGATCACACTGTCAAACTCTGAAACTGTGTTAGTATTAACCTTGGGGCAGGGAACAGAACCAACAGCAACTAGGTGACAAGAGTGAGAGCCCAAAAGAGTATGGAGGACTCAGGAAGACAGACAGAGAAACACAGGAAGTAGCAGAGTACAACAAAACATTTTATTTTCTTATTTCTTTATATTGATAACAGCTGTTCTGAGACTACTTCCATTGAGACTCCCAGCCTCAAAGATAGAGTGTCAGGTCCTCAGGCTCAGGTCTGATTGAGCTGTTATGACTATTTTAAAGTTTACTTATGAAATTATGAATTATGCATAAGTGTGTGTGTTTGTGTGTGTGTGTATGCTTTCAAAAATCATGCTAGTAAAACCAATCCATATATTCATGATCAGAATAGAAAGCATGTGTCATCTTGGTTAAGCATATAAAACAATTATTTTCTATGGAAAAGACATATTTCCTATAAGAAACATAAATCATCCTAAGAAAAACTAAAAATTACCTTTACCAGTGGCTCTTTGAAATATGTGGTAGTTTGTTTTAATACTTTAAAAAGTATAAGTTAGATGAGATTGGGCTCGTTCAGTGTGGTATGTTTGTAAATGTCCAGAGATCCTCAAGGATGACCCACAACTAAGAGTTAAAGCAATAATGGAGAGGATACTTTAAATACTCTACCCCTATAATGAGATTGAAGACTCTCTTAAATGTCATCATCAAGTCTTTATTCAGTAGCTGATGGAAGCAGAAGCAGACATCTACAGCTATGCATTGAGCCACACTCCTGGAATCCAGTTGTGGAGAGGGAATAGGGATGAGCAAAAGGGTCAAGACCATGCTGGAGAAACCCATAGAAAGAGCTGACCTGACCAAGTGAGAGCACGCAGATCCCAGTCATAATGCTGGGGAACCAGCATTGAACCAATCAAGCCCTTTGAATGTTGGTGCCAGTTAGGATGCCTGGGCAGTCTATGGGAACACTGATGGTGTAAACAGTATTTATCCCTACAGCACAAATGGACTTTGGGAGCCCATTCCCAAAGGAGGGATACTCTCTCAGCCCAGATACACAGAGGAAGTCTTAGGCCCTTCCTCAAAATATGTGACAGACTTTGATGATTCCTCATTGAAGGCCTCACCCTCCCTGAGGAGTGGAAAGGGAGTGGGGTGAGGAGGTCTGTAGTGGACATGGGAGGATGGTAAAGAGAATAAACTGGGATTGATATGTAAAATAAGATTTTCTAAATTAAATATTTAAAAGTGTAAATTATTAAGTTTAATATTAATGACACTATAGTTGAATAAGATTTTCTGTGTCAATGCCATTCAAAGATAAGAACATGAAGATATTGAGAGAAAGAGCTTGTGAAACAAATTACATTAATGACAAGTTTGAGCAGTTTATTATAGGTGATAGAATTTGTTTTACACTTTGACTAAAATAATAGCATTTAATACGCCATCTTTAATACACACATTTATAGACCATGTAACAAATTATAATAAAATATTTCTATAATATAGAGACATTAATGTATTAGTATAATCTTATAGCATAATACACTATTAGGTAAGGATTCTAAGAACATAATAGTGAGAAAACAGAATTGGCAGATGTCAATGTTGTCAAGTTTGTAGATTTCTTTTCCACTGCATCACTTTTTAATTTTCTACCCTAACTTTAAAATTCCAAATGTTAGAAATAAATACTTCTGTAGAAGCATGTGGTCATCATCATTCAAACATTTATTGGTGTTATTTCAGTGGCATATTCATTTCCTAGGAGGCAATGTTCTACAATTAGCAGATTTATAGACGTACGCTAATATCAGCGTGCTTCAGTGACCAGGAGTGTAGCTCCATTTGATGGGAATTTTCAGCAGTTAGAGTGAGTATGACTGCACAGTCTAGTCCCACATATCTACCTAGGTTATGATTAATCAGCTTAATCTGTATGGAGAAGCATGTCTTTATATAGCTTCTTGTTGCTGGCTTAAGTTTGGAAGCGAAAGGCAGCTATTCTGGAATTAGAATTAGTGCACAACTACAGATGTCTATCCTTCCCCATTATAAGAAATGGACCATTTCTACATGCTGCAACCAATGACCATGTGCAATATAAATATGCAGTTATCTAAGTACATTATTTATACATAGAAAAATAATCCAAATGAAAGATGATGTAACTATAAAGTTTTCATTTAGTTCAATATTTTACAAGGCATTGCTCATATCTTTTTACTAATGGTTATTGAAGAGAAAAAGGTATTTTATTATTGGTAGAATATCAAAATAGGTTTTAATAAAATATGGTTGAAAATAGAGTTTGAATTATTTGAGTATAAAAGTTCTTACATTTTAAAAATGCTTTTGCCTGGTTATTTTAAAATTGTAACAATTTCTTACTAAAATACACAAGCTGTATTTTAGAAGCAGATGTACACATTTACTATCAAAATAAGTAAAATTACTTTTACTCATAACCAAATGGCAACATCTGATTTTACGTCTTGGAACTCATTATAGGTAAATGATCGTGATCGTCTCCTAAGATTTGTTGGTCTCTGAGGTCTTCCTTCTAGCAGATGTAAGTAGATCTCAGATTTCAGAAAGCGTGTGTAACTGTCTTGTTCCATGAGCTGATAGACTCTGCTTTGTGCTGCATCAAAACTGTGGAGAGTTGGCTGTGTGATGCTCTTAGTAATTACTTCTTTGGTATGAAAATCAAGGTTAACCTGCATAAATAGGAAAAAGGTACAATCATAGCTGATCTAACACAATGTCTTTGAGAACATCTATTCTTACAGTGCTGGAGGAGCTATGGTAGAGCTATGGTATGTTTGGATACTGGGGTAGTTCCTCCCCAGGTCTAAGGATACCATGGTATACTCTAGGGTGTTATCTCATCTGGCTTCCCTACCTCTGTGTTAAGAGTTAGGCTTATTCTAACTCAGCATAATTGGATAATGCAATGGTATCTTTCATGGAATCAACACATTAACTCACTCATTTTCATAGTGAAGAACAAATATCTTAAAAGTTGAAGTGTTTAAATTATAAGGAATGAGAAGTTTTGGGCCTGGCTGTATTATCAGTACGACCCTTCTGTTCAAGTAGCTATTTTATTCATCATTATTTTTTCTACAAGCAAAACTGTGACAACAGATGAATGTGTCTTAAATGTATAATATCATTCAGTTGATTTTATTATACTCCTGTTGATGTTTCTGATACTAATACCATATTTTCAGGAATCTATCCTGTTTTCCACTTGTGGATAACCATATAATCTGCTATATTTTTACATAAATAAATAAAGACCCTTTCTTGGAGCAACATATCCATATAGACAGTATTGCTTTATATTCTATGTAGTAGTTTCAGTCCTAAAGATTTTCAGAGAGTTGTTAACATAATTGTAATAATCAAGATTTGTTTGCCGCCCTGTAGCAATAATGGACAGTGATGAAATACTTAGGAGTTAGGCTCTAGTTTAAAGAACTTAGGTTATTGAAGTTCTGCTTTAGAATTTTTTTCTCTATCCCTTTCTATCTTCTTTCATCTCGTGCCTTTTTCTCTTTACTTAGAGCAATCATAAAGTGAGTACTTTCTCTGCTATGCATCTCTGCCATTACATTTAGATTTGCAATAGTATTCAAATCAAATGTGTGAAAAAACATTTTCTTTTCTTATTTCTTTAATTTGAATGGGTTTAGTAAGTATTTGTCTTATAACCAAAAGGTAGCACTATAGTAAAAATTTATAGTTGAAAAGTGAGAGAGTATATGTGCTACCTTGTAAGTGGAAATACTATCTATTAAATACAGAATAGAAATATCAAACCATTAAATATTTTGTTGCAGTAAAATCATATCTGCTAAACTCATAATCAACTTTTTGACTGTTCCATAGGGTTAGCCCATTCAGTTGTAATCAAAAGAGCAATTGTTTGCCACTTGAAACACTGCAAAAGTTTCTTTTAGCTTATTCTAAACTAATAAAATAATTCTTTTGGGCAGATTAAACTTTACATAGATGGATAAAATAAAATCCTTTTTTAACTTATATTTATTATTTGGGGATATACATGCCATAGAATAGTGTGAAGAGAACATATTTAGGGTGTTGTTTGTTTTTTCCACTTTGTCGGGGGTGGCATTGAACTCAGGTCTTCAAGCTTAGAATATCCTTAAACATATTTAATGCTACTGGCTCAATATAAACTTGTAAAGTGTTGCATGATTTTTATGTGGTACATAACATATTTATGCTTTTTTGCCTTTATTCCCTTCAGAAATCTTTAGTTTTAATAAGTAGTTGTTTCTGGTAATATGGTCAGTAAAAATTGCAGAAACAAATGTTGCAACTTTATTCACTTTTGGTCTAAGTCTGAAGATTGACCTTATTCTTTAACCCATTATTATATTATATTATATTATATTATATTATATTCTGTCAATAAGTAGAAGTCTGCAGTTAACCAGTTTCATTTTAACAAAATCTTGAGCTCCATGGGGTGGCCAAATTGGGGAAAACAAACCCCATGAAAGTGTTAAGGAATTAATGTGTTTTGAATCATCACTGTACCTCTTTTGGAGCATCATTCTGAATAAACTTCTCATATATTGCTTTGGCTTCCAGGCTGATTTGTTGAGGTTCCTTGCATTTCTTGAAATCTTCACAGGCTTCCCAAAATTCAATGTTTTCTTCACTGAATTCAGTTTTAAGAAATCTAGTAAAAGCGTCCAGTCCATCTACCAAAAGTAAATAATAGTTTGTTACTATGGTGTTCCACTTGATATTAAAATATATACAAGAACTAACAGTAGAAGTGATTTTCCTTCTAATTCTACATGGCCCCACCAGTATGTGTGGGGAACATCATATAAAATAACCTTTTGAGCAAATAAAAGGAAGACATTGTTTCTTTGAAAAAAGAATAAATCACACTTTGATCTAAATCCTTAAATATAAGAGTTAAAAGACCATCCCGAATTGCTCAGTTTACATCTCTTCTATTCACATCTCAGAGTGATTATTCTATAAACTTCTGTAGCCTTTCTCTTGGATTGTCTTCTGCCCACTACCAGATCATGGTTTTTCTATTGGAGACCTTCAAATTCTCTTTCCATTGTTTCATTATTTCCAAGTTCCACACTGTCTTCTTTTCCAAAATTCATACTGCCAACTAAAATCATACTGCCTATGAGTCCTGAGGATGAACAGGCTTAAATCGTCAGACATTACATATTTTAGGGGACTTCTCACATGCTTAGGAGGGAATAATTCATGTTGGAAAGAAAATGAAAAAAGCATATTTAGTCATGTAATTGTAAAATTTTTGAGGAATATAAAATCTAATACTATCTTCTGAATATTTTAATTTTATGTTTCAAAATTAAAACAATATGATACATTTGTAAAGTAGCAACTTGAACTATACTACGTAAACATTTAAACACAAGAGACTGTTTTTGTCTTTTTGCCTTGTTACCCATAAGTGCTTGGAACAGTTAAAAAGCTATAAAAATTACTTGGATACAATATTGTGTTTTCCTACTTCCCACGTGTCCCTGAATGGATGTTTTTTTTTTCTTTATGCAATTAAGTTTCTCACTATTGAAAATTAAGAAAGTGATAACTACTTGATTGGAACCATTAAGATATGTGGCTTTGTTGGTCAAAGTGCATCACTAAGTGTTGTGATTTGAGATCTTAAAAGCTCAAGCCTTGCCAATATGACATTGTCACTTCCTGCTGCCTGCAGATCCAGATGTAGAACTCTCAGTTCCTTCTACAGCACTGTGTCTGTCTGCACCCCAACTAGCTTCCTACCATTATAATAATGGACTAAAGCTTTTAATTTTAAACCAGCTACAACTGAATGTTTTCCTTTATAAGAGTTGCCAGGTTCATGGTGTCTCATTACAGCAACAGAAATCCTAACTAAGACAGCAAACAAGACACACAGTCACACATAGAACATCTTTATGCATATATTCCTAAATATACACATGCAGCAGGCTCAGTCTTCATAATGGCACTTGTATTTAGATTTTCAGGAATGCCCATGGGAAGGTTTTGAGAAAGTAAGGGAAAGGAAGGGGGAATGATGTAATTATAATCTCCTTAAATAAAAATTATTAGTAAAATATAATCCACTTTTATAAAGTTTTAAAACATCTGCATGTCCAGTGTCTGGTCAATTCTCTGAACCTGTCTCTGATGTTTTATCTTTCTCTGTTCTCTAGTACCCCTCAACTAAAGAATTCAGAATGTTATATTCCTCCATTTTCTCTCCTTTATTCCTAGTTTTTTTCTTGCATGTCAACATTTTTGACCTGAAACTTCTCTTTATTTCTGTACTTTTCATACTTTATTTGAACTTTCAGGAGAGAAAATAGATGACAAACAACTTAAGAAAACATTTAACCATCCTTGGGCTAATATTATTAAAAGATTTGTATCTTATCACAAGAAATTATCAAAAGAAAATTCTCTTGACTTAAATATTCCTTTAGCTAATAATCTGTTTTCTTCTACTGAACAAAAAAATATTTTATTAAAATTTCCACGCTTTTAAACTCTGAAAATTTAAACAATAGTCACATCAATTTTATTAGTCATAATTAATCATGAAATAAAAATATTCAATGATAAAAGGAGACTAAAGGGACTGTTGACTACCAAACCTTCTCTACAGAAGAAACAAGAAGAAATGTGTCAATCTAAAGAGAAAAATAAACAGACTAAAGGGACTACAAGAAAGACTAATTAAACAAAAACAGGACTAAAATAAAATGACAAAAAGCAATTCATACCTTTCAGTAATAACTTTAAATGGACTCATTTTACCTATCAAAAGATATTGGATAGCACATTGAATTTGAAAACAAATTTCTTGGTTTTGTTGCTTCTAAAAAGCATACCTTATTGCAACAGAGGAAAAGGGATTTGGAATACAATATGGAAAAACATATTTCAAGAAAATGCAACCACGTATCAAGCAGGTATTGTTCTTTTAATATCTGACCAGGTAGATTCCAAACAAATTCATGTCAGATGAGATAGTTACTTAGATGGTGGTTACTTCATATTGATCAGAGGAACAAGTCAGAAAGAAGAAATTGCCCTTGTAAATATATGTTTTCTAAATAAAACTTACACAGTTTTCTTAAGTGTACACTACTAAATTTAAAATCACAGATCACTTTGAATTTAGTAATTGTGTATAATTTCAGTACCATGTTCTAACCATATAGTAGATAACTATATAAAACATGAATAAATATAATAACTCGTGGATTATATAATATCAAAAGTGAAATGGAACTAACCAACATTTATAGATTTTTCAACTTAAACACCAAAGAATACAGTTTCTTCTCAGAGCCTAATGGAATCTTCTTTAAAAGAGACAATATATTAAAAAACTAGGGTTTAAAAAACCATAAGAAATTGAAATGACATTCTGCATTCTATCTGACCAAAATAGAGTAGAATTTGAAATTAACAGCAAGAGAAACTACAGAAAGTAATCATTCCCACAGAGAAAAGAACATACAATTGAGTGACAAATAGATAATTACAGAAATCAACAAGGGAATAAATATATTCTACAATCAAATAGCAGTAAAACTATAGCAACCTAAATATATGGGATAAAATGACAGTTCAAAAGGGAAGTTTATAGTGCTAAGTATCTGCATAAAAAAGAGATAAATAAACAACCAGATGGCAAACTTTTAGGCATTCAAATAATAAAGATGCATAAACAAAAACCATGAACAAGACAATACAAAAAACAATAGCTAGATAACAAATGTCAGGAAAAAATAATAGAATAGATATTAATCTTCTAATGAAAAGATCCACTAAAACAAAGAGGTGGCTTTTTAAATGTAAATAAAATTGGTGAATCCTTACTCAGATTACCAAAAGAAAGAGAAAAATGTGGCCCAATTTAATTAATTAGAGGTAAAATGGTAGATATTACATCAGATATTAAGGAAATATGATAAATCACAGAATCATATTTAAACTTTTTATTTCAATAAATGTTAAAATGTAAAATGGATCAATTTATAGAGGCATGTGACCTGCCAAAATTAAACTAACATAATGTAATTATTTAAACACATCACTGACGATCAATGAGATAGAAGCAGCAGTTAAATATCTCCCAACTAAAGAAATTCTGGAGTCAGATGGAGTCATCCCAAAATTTCACAAAGAACTAGCATCAGTATTCCATGAAATAGAGAAGGGAGGAACACTTCTGTAGTGGCTGGTTATGTGTATCAACTTGATAAAAGCTAGAGTAAGGCATTTGCCAAAATTCTATCTCCATGGTAAAAGCCCTGAAGAAAAGTACGGAGGGGAAATATCTTCACATATTGAAGTCTCTCTATAAGAAAGTCACAAACACAATTATTTTAAATGGAGAAACAGTTGAATAATTTTTCCTCCTAAGATCAGGAACAAGATAAGGGTACCCACTTATAATGCTCGAAGTCCTATCTAGAGCAATAAGAAAAGAAGAAATAAATTAGAAAAGGAAGATATCAAAGAATTTCTACCTACACTGACATGTCTACAAATGAGATATCCCAATAACATCAACAAATTGTTCTTTTTAACTAATAAACTCTTTTATCAAAGAGACTAGTGACAAAAAATGACTGGCCCAAATCAGTACTCCTATGTTCCAAAGACAAATATAATGAGAAACACTTCATAGAATCAATTTCAATCATAGTAGCCTAAACACATGTTGAAATAAACCTAACAAAAGAAATAAAAGACCTATTCAATAAAACTTTCAAAACTCGAAGGTAATAAATTGAAGAAGACAAACAAGGAGATAAAGAAATCATCTGTGTTTATGGATTGCTATGATCAATATTGTAAAATGGACACCATTCTCAGAGAAATCTATAGTTCAAAGCAATTAATATCAAAATTCCAATGCAATTCTACAGAGGATCTTACCCACAAAATGACCCTAGAGAAGCAAAACAACACTGAACAACAAAAGTACTGATGGAGGTATCACCATACATGATTTAAATTATACCACAGAGCAATAGTTGTAAAAATAGCATAATACTAGTCTGTAGGGGAGAGTAAATAAGCCATCTGAATAGAATTGATGACACAGATATTAGTCTATGCACACTACCTGATTTTTGTTCACAATGCCAAAAATATATATTGGAGAAAAGACAGCACCTTTTAAGAAATGATGTTCGGGAAAATTGGATATCACCATATAATTCTTCTTCTAAGGTTGGGGCCCCATTTGATATCCTCCTTTTATGTTAGCATGCTTATTGGAGTCTATGCTCAAATATGATATTAAGAAATAGTTAAAAAAAAAAACAAAAAAACAAGAAATTGACAAACCAAAGTCATGAGGCATGAAAAAAAGGTAAAACAAAATTGTTTGATTTTTGTAACCATGGATGAATATAATAGTCAAATATGTTACTCTCTTTCAGAGATTAAGCTTTACTGAAACCTGTTGTTAGGAAACATTTTCTTTGTATCCCAATTTCATGCTTGAGAATGATTGTTTTTCTTTTTGCTTTATTTTGACATCCCTTTGAGTTATATGATAAAGTGGATAATTATTTCTAAATCTGTTCTTTAGTTGGAATGCATTTAATGAGTTATTTTACTAATATCTAGATATTTGTCATTCTAACACAATGACAGAATCACCTTTGAGAGTATTTATGATTCTTTAAACAAT